TAGATGAACATTATCTAATAAGATTATTAAATGTAGGTCTCAGTATTTCCGAGTCTGAATAACGTACACGTTTTGCTCACAGATGACAAGATAAAGTAATTTATGCCAAAACGAACTGTGAAAACTGCAGGTTTCTAACTCTTACGTTTTAAACGCTATCTAGCCTCATTTAGAGAGCTGAAATCGTGATTTTTTTTTAAACAACTGATTATCTTGAAAACGGTAAATTTTAAGTACCATGTACATTTAATAAACTCTACCTAATATTAACCAAGGAATAATATACAGTGTTCCATGTAAACGCGAAATGGAACATCCTATGAAGCTAAAAAATATTTTCTTTACATTTCGCACAGGATTCCAGGCAACTTTTATTAAAACCATTTTTTTAATAAATTTTACAGTTGCACAGTTACAGAGGAATCTCCTCTTATCTGGAACACCCTGTATATATTTTAATTCTTTTACATTGTTATTAGAACCTAAACGCAAAATAAAGCTCACAAATTTTTTAAAACCATATCACGAGTTATAATTCTCTCAAAAATTCTCCACAAGCACAACGCTTCAACTTTTACATTGACAAAAAACTCCTAAAGCTTACCGTACCGGCACCTAAGGAGGTCGTACACTATTGAACTCGAGTGCTTTTAGCCAGTGCAAACAGATAGTGATATTCAGACGCTAGGGCAGCAGACCAGACAGTGCTGAACAAAGAGGGTGTACCCATATTAACACAATCTGAACAATAAAAACTCGTTCGTTTAGAACAAAATGCAGTGTGTCCTAGATCACAAAAACAATAATTCGAGCGTGGATATGAACTCGAAGCAAAACCAAGTCTCACGAGTTATCTGGAAATACAATCATCGCCGAGCGGGCGACTAACATCCCAGCACTGCAGATGAAAACAAGATCAGATTGATTAGGGCCCCTAGCTCCATCTGATCCCATTATGAAGGTTTGCGACCCTCTAAACATTTAGCATGTTTGTGGGAAATGATGGTGGGTTAACTCCACCGCATGTTAGTCAGACCAACCAGAATCCACTACCAAACGAGTTAACCAACCAATATAATATTTAATAATGATTATTTGAGGCCGTTATTTCATTTGCAGTAATTAATATGAATTTATAATTGGCTCTGACTATTAGATCATAAAAACAAGAATTTGAAAAATGTTAAATGATACCTCGGCAGTGTTAGAATTGTTTAAGTTTGGAATAAGGGAGAATGGTAGAGGAACATTACAAGTTGCAAGAGTAGTTCAAGACAATTGGAAAGCTGCTATAATTTGAAACACAGTTTATAAGGTCTGTGGTCTGTGCACATAACCTATAAATATTTGTATTTTATTTTTATTTTTCTTTGCAGAATCATAGTACAGTAATAGTATTATTTTTATGCTGAATAAAGTGAACATTAGATAGATAGCTTAGCTTATAAAACCAAGAAAGTGAATAACTAAAGGCAATTAAACTGAAAATGATTTTTTTGTTCACTGCAGTGAAGTCACATACGAGACCAGAATGACATCAGTTTTGTCTAGTGAGACTTCATACAAGTTATAAATTATAATTATAAATATTTAGATAAATAGATAACCGAGAGGAAACAGTGATATAAAAATGGAAAAGTCTAAAAGACTATTTTGCAGACTTTGCACTAATACTAAAAGCGATGGAAATTTTAGGGCAATAGACGAATCTACAAGGGAAATTTTAAAGACAGTTTCACTGAATCTAGTAAGTCGTACATGTTCTGTAGTAATGTTGCTAGTTAAATTTACTTTTTCAATAAAAAAATATATTTTAGGACTTGGACAACTATAAACACGTCATATGTTCTATCTGTTCTGTTCAACTGTACTCTGCATTTGATTTTAAATCCACCTGTCTTTATGTTGAGGACAAGATTGTTTCTTATGTTAATCCCACAATGTCATTCGTTGATTTAAAAGAAGTTTATGTAAAGGAACATGATAACAAACCGTTAATTAAAATGGAGGATGATCAGAAAATATGCCGATTATGTTTGCAGCTGGTTAGCGAAGAATTTGTGCCATTTTCTGAAGTGGACTTGGAAATGTTTCATAGATACATTCCAGAAGTGGTAATTATCCGTTTTAAACATATTTTAAAACTTCAAAACTATATCGATCCCTTTACAAGCTCTTATTGTAGGATACTGGTGTCTCTGAAGATCCAATCATTTGTAAGCAATGTTTTGATTCACTCGGAGTTCATAATATTTTCATCAAGACCTGTTTAGATGTTAAAATGCAAATTCATACAAACGAAATAGGATCAGAAGATGAACAGAAAATGGAAGGGTTAGTTAAAATTGAAAAAGAGCTAGACACCGAAGAAACATTGATCGGAACTGAAGAAGTTCACATAACAAGTGAAGGACATGATTGGGAAAGGTTAGAAATTTGAAAATAATNATAACTTCTAAGATCATATTATTTTAACATGTTAAGAGTGGGAGACGCTTCGGAAAAACCATCGAACGTGTAGGACAAAAGTTTTTTAGAGTTTTTCATACAATTATCATGCGATTTCAGTAAAAAACTACTTGTTAGCAATAAATATTGATCATTCACCAAATCGACATGTTTGACACCCCCGCGCTTTATTAGCTACCGTTTTCGAGAATTTTCGTAGAGGGAAATGTTGGGCGTCTTGTCAAAACGAAGCTATTCCCCAAAATTCAGCTTGTTATTAATCAAAGAAAAAAAAGGGTCTGGGCCCGTGGACTATACGTAAAGACAGTAAATAAATTAATTTATAACATTTGCAAGGCATAACCTTTAAAATAAAATCAAAAGTAACCCCATATATTTTTATTAAAAAGAGTTACTTGAAATGGTTCAAAGTGTTCTCGTCCGCGCGGCACTGGAGGACCCTCCGATGTCTCCATTCGGGTAGATTAGGGTTGGCCCTTGACTGCCCATGAATATCCATTCGGGATTGGCATTTCCAGCGTCCAATTCCTGTCACGATGCCATCAGCAAAGTCTATCACTAATAAAAGTCTATTTGTCTTTCTTTCACTATGATTCGAGTCTATCAAGTCCTGAACGAACAATCGTTAACGAAAGAGTTCACTTACCGCAGTGCTATAGCACCGCTCCTCGCATCCAGATTTCCCCGGGATGTCTCTGCACACCACACTTAGTTTTAGGATAATTATGTTATTTATTATTAGCTTCACTTATGCAAAGAAGAATCTTATTGACGTTCTTAATACTTAATAGTTTTTTATCTTTCAGATGGATTCCAACCACCACTCTCTACTACGCCACTGAAAGGGATCTCACTGCTAAGGAATTGGAGCAGCCAAGGATACACCGAAAAGCGATTAATACATATATTGGGTAAGTATTACACTATAAGGTTTTTCTTTCAGGTGGCAAGAAGCGAACAATGTTAAAACTCGACTAATGTCTATGACTATAACTAATACTATGACTATAACTATGACTAATATGACTTAGACAATTAATGTTGAGTATGATTTTACAACTTTGCAAAGATATTTTAAAGTAAAAACCTTATATCCCAAAATATAAATTTTTTCAGTGACTCCATTTTGCCCGACTTACAAGACAAAACAGTTAAACAACAGTCAAACAAAAAGAAGTGTGAGACAGAAGAGATTCAAAGCAATACCCCATTGGATATACCATTCTCTAACAGTAAATGCAAAAACGAGTTTAACAATGGTCTAAAACATGAAGCTGTCCCGGAACTAATACAATATAAGAGAAGCAATACCTGTACTTTTGAAACTAAATGTAAGAGGGGTCTAAGTGGGCATTGTTTAAAGCACAAAGGCCTTTCAGAAATCCAAATGTACAAATGTGATACTTGCACCTATACAACTAAATATAAGCTCGCCCTAACGAGGCACCAATTACTTCATAAACATTCTTCAGAAAATCAAATACACAAGTGTGATACATGTAGTTACAAAACTAAACGTAAGAGTAATCTAAAAGTGCATCAGTTATCACACAAAGACCCTTCAGAAATCAAAATGTACAAATGTGATGTTTGTACGTATGAAACTAAACGTAAATGTCATTTGATCGGGCATCAAATGACACACAAAGACCTTTCACAAACTGAAATGTACAAGTGTGAATTGTGCACTTATGAAGCTAAATATAAGGTTGGACTAAAGAGGCATCAGTTAATACACAAACCTTCTTCAGAAATTGAAATATACAATTGTGATGCATGTACTTATGAAACTAAACATAAGAGTGATCTAAAGGTACATCTGTTGTTACACAAAGACCCTTCAGAAATCAGAATGTACAAATGTGATCAATGTAGTTATGAAGCTAAACGTGCGAGTTATTTGAAACTGCACCAATTATCACACAAGGATCCTTCAGAAACCAAAATGTACAAATGTGAATTGTGTTCTTATGAATCAAAGTATAAAACTAGTTTCAAGAGGCATCGGCTGACACGCAAACATTCCTCAAAAATCCAAAAGTGATATTTGTACTTACGAAATTTAAGTATAAGAGGGGTATAAAAGTGCATCAGTTGTTGCACAAAGACCCTTCGGAAATCGAAATGTACAAATGTGGTACTTGCACTTATGAGACTAAATATAGGGGTTATCTGAAAGCGCATCAGCTATCACACAAAGGCCCTTCAAAAGCCAAAATGTACTAATATGAATCATGTACTTATGAAACCAAGTATAAGAGTAATGAATAAGGTTTTTCAGACTACATAAAAACAATAAATAGCATTCATATTCTGGTTTGGAGAAGTTGTTATCAAATAGTTGCACAAATTTTTAGGAAATAATAACATGATTGTAATATACAGTGATCTATTTTGAAAAATTTAATGCTTTGGCAACAAATGTCATCTAACAACCGGCATTGATTTAAAATCCAATTTAGGAGCGTTTTTCATCAGCTGATCAACTTCTGGACAAATTTCCTCATCCCTTACGTCTCCGCTGGGGATTACCCCTTAGCCTCATCGTCGACAGTCAAAAATGCAGACTAGAATATATCTGGTAACCCACATTTTTACATTATAATATAAATATTTGTAGTTAATTTCAACTTTCTTATCAATATGAAAATGTTTATAAAATATTAAATGTAATATATTTTCAAGAAAAACATTTGAAATAAAACGCTAATAGTGTTGAGTATCTTTTATTAAAAACAACTTATCCTTACTATTTCACAATATTTGCTTAAAAAAAATACTAAAATTCACCAGAGACAATTTAAACATGATAAATAAATAAACAGGTTTTAAGGTCAAAAGGACGAGGGCCCCTAAGGACGGTTTTTGGCCTAATTTATTTTTGACTGAAAAAATAATTTTTTTTTTTTTAGTACCTACTAACAATACTGAATCGTCCTAAACAGACCAACCCCCTCATCCTCATTTCCCCCTCCTCCCCCTTAAATGAGATGACACATTTAAATTGAATAAAACAAAAAAGAAAAAAAAATCAATAATTATACATACATGTTTGTGCCTATTTGATTAGCCACTTTGAATTTCGTGATTCTGAATTCATAATTGTAATCGGTGATGCAAGAAAGTTTCTATAAACAAATATTTGAGGATTATGAAGATCTTTTTAATGTTTTTGTCCGCCATATGGAATGCGTCATTTTGAATTTCGTAATTCTGCCTTCAGATTCGTAATCAGAGACCCAAAAAACTCCACTATGCAAAAGTTAAGACATTTTAATTTTTTTGTATGTCTTTTGAATCCGCCATTTTGAATTTCGTGATTTAGAGTCCAGATTCGTAATCATAGACCCGAAAAACTCTTCATATTTAAGATTCGTAGGAATTGAATGTCTTTCGCATCTCTAAAGCTCTTTAAAGATTCCTCTAATAAGCGATGGTTTCCCTGGCATTTAAGGGGTTGGAGGGGGAAAGGAGGGTGAAGGGGTTAGTCCATTTAGGGTAGAAACTATTCAGTATTGCTAGTAGGTACTAAAAAAATTTTTTTCTGATTTTTTTTCAGCCAAAAACCGGCCTCCTTTTAGCAAATTATTTTAAGCAAAAGTATATGAATATGGGTCATAGTTCAAATCATTTTTAAGAAACGCTGTTGGAAATTTAATAAAAATATCAATTTTCTAAAATATTTCTTTAGAATGTTTGACGTAGGGTGAAGAAATTTGTCATTAATTTATCTGAGCAGAAATAAGATCGCCTAAATTGACTTACAAATATGTCAGTCAGAGACAGAGATATCAGGGATTAGTACTTGTAGAAATTATCACGATGGGGATCTGCACTGTGTAGGCTACCTCCAAAGCAGCTGATCCTTTTCGCCCCACTTCCGCCGATAAAGGGATGAGTGACGTCATTGGTATTATAAATTGAATAGCGTCAACATCGTTCATTGTTATGTTTTCTAATGAATTTATTAAATTTCAGTGTTAGTATAATCTTTAAGTACTATTGAACTCAAATTTTTATTTAAAACTATGTTAAGTTACAATTATGGAAGCCCAATTTGTAATGTGGATATTTGTAAATGTAAGGTAAAGTGTGAAAAAGGTACTGGCGAATCAATCAGTTTTCTAGGGTTTTAAAAAGATCCTATGTAAAGAAAGAGTGGATTGGATGGTGCTATCGAGAATATGNTACATTGAATAAAACGAAAAAGAAAAAATTAATAATTTAGCAAAAGCAAAAGTATATGAGTATGAGTCATAGTTCAAATCATTTTTAAGAAACACTGTTGAAATTTAATAAAAATATCAATTTTCTAAAATATTTCTTTAGAATGTTTGACGTAGGGTGAAGAAATTTGTCATTAATTTATCTGAGCAGAAATAAGATCGCCTAAATTGACTTACAAATATGTCAGTCAGAGACAGAGATATCAGGAATCAGGAAACTTGTAGAAATTATCACGATGGGGATCCGCACTGTGTAGGCTACCTCCAAAACAGCTGATCCTTTTCGCCCCACTTCCGCCAATAAAGAGATGAGTGACTTCATTGGTATTATAAATTGAATAGCGTCAACATCGTTATGTTTTCTAATGAATTTATTAAATTTCAGTTTTGATCTGTATTTTTGGAGTTTCCTGTGTTGTGTATAGGAACTGATGTTCTTGAGGTTTTTTCCTGTTAGTATAATCTTTAAGTACTATTGAACTCAAACTTTTATTTAAAACTATGTTAAGTTATAATTATGGAAGCACAATTTGTAATGTGGATATTTGAAAATGTAAGGTAAAGTGTGAAAAAGGTACTGGCGAATCAATCAGTTTTCTAGGGTTTTAAAAAGATCCTATGTAAAGAAAGAGTGGATTGGATGGTGCTATCGAGAATATGATGTTAATCTTGCTAACAAAAAAAATTGCAGTAAGCATTTTTAAAAAAAGATTTTGAAGATATATGCCGTACAAGGAAAATGACTAGCTCCAAAGGAATTCAAATCAACAGGTAGGTATAAATGTTAGTCATATTCTGTATATATTTATTAAACTAGATAAATCATTTTAGAAATTATTTTATTGTTTTAATAATTTTTAATTTTACTGAAATTTAATTACCAACGTGAAAGAAATAAAATAAGATTTATGCATCAGACTGTTCTAGAAAAATACTGTTTTTTTATGGATTGTTTTGTAGCTTATAGCGAAAATATACAGGTATTTTATTGTATCTGCTTCGTTATATTCCACATTACTTTTAGAAGAGGAGATCTATAGTTAATTAGTGGTTGGAAAAGAAAATATTCGTTACTTTTCGTAATTTTTATATCCCCTGCCATAAATTAAATTTATTAATAAATGTGAGCTACTAAAACTATGCTAACCATCATTCGTTATTTACGGTTGTCAGTTGTTTTCATGAACAATCTAATTGAAGTGAAAAATAAAAACTGGTTATTGATTACTGAATTATAGTTTATTTTTCACTAAAGTGATCCCAACGTTAGAGTATTTGAGGTTATCGTTATAATTTTCGCATGCACTACAATTTCTCTACAAAAAAATGTCAAAATTTGATCGAATGCTTATCGTGAATCACCATTTTACTCAAAAACATTGCGTTTTAGGAAAAAATACCAAGACAAAAAGTTTCTAAATTCAATGGCTTTCTAGCTAACTAATAATTTCTAAGAAATTCAAATTTGCGACCAAATTTTTTTGGTTCCAAAGAGACCCTCGAAAAAGTGTCTTAAGGACGTTCCCCGCCAAAAAGGGAAGCACCATCAGATTCCACATGTCATAAAACCCGTGTACCAAATTTAGTGATTCTCGTGCGACAGGGTTCCGAGATATAAAAAAAAGATTATTCTTAGGGGCGGATTTCAGGCAGCTGTAACTTCGAAAGAGGGGGCCACTTGGTAAAAAGACGAAATACAGATCCCCTAAATTTGTCTTAAGAATCTATGACCAAATTTTGTTACATTAATTTCGGGACACTCTGTATGTAAAACTGATACGTTTTTAGGAATAGTAGTCTACTTAGGTTAAGAAAAATCTGGACACAGACTGAATTTTAAATTCAACCAATAACCTACACAAATATATACAAGTGTTTATAGAATACATTTTTGATTTTCCCATTTATGCTCCTAATTAACATTGTACATATTAATTATTAGACAAAACTTCCAAATAATAATTCCTCTAGACAAACAAATTTAAAACTAATTTTACACTAATATAGAAAGTCAGTGATTAGAAAAAAATAATTGCACCATAACTCGGTAACCATGACCTCTATAATTCTGTAACCTGTTATTTGAATGATTTTGATCGTAAAAACTCACAATTCGTATTGTCGTAGGACAGTAAGTTGTTAGGCTTTTCCAACTAGCAAGACAGTTCGAGCTAGAGTTGAGAGAAATTTTGGAAAGTGAGCTGAATTTCTCCATTTCCCGCGCTGCATCGTCCTAGAGGATCTATGGTGATGGCATCATCCTTCGTCAACATTGACGCATATCCCACATCTTTATAAGACGATGCAATTTTGAGATCCCACTTATATTTAGTTTCATAACCGCCCATACTGCACTTGTGCATTTGGATTTCTGAAGGGTCTTTGTCTTAAACTGATATTATATTGTTTTCAAAGTTGATTTCATCACTACTTTAATCACATATATACATTTATATCCATCATACCAGTACATTTAATTTCTTAAGTGTCGATGACTGATGCACTTTGAGATGGACACTTGTACATGTTAATTTCTGATAGGTGTAATAACTGATACCTTTTTAGCTAATTCTGATATTTGTCTTCATAATCACTTATACCACATGTACATTTCGATTTTTGAAAGACTTTAGCATTTAGACAGATCCACTGTTAGTTTCATAACTACTGTATTTGTTCATTGTGTTTCTGAAGGGTCTTTGTGTTTAAGCTGATGCAATTTTAGATTACATCTAAATTTGGTTTCATAACTGCACGTATCACACTTGTACATTTGGATTTTCGAAGGATCTTTATGTTTCAACTGGTGTGATTTTAGATTGCTTATAAAATTAGTTTCATAGGTACAGGTATCACACCTGTATATCTTGATTTCTGAAGTGTGTGACAGCTGATGCACTTTCAAATGTCCCTTATATTTTGTTTCATAAGTACAAATATCGCATTTGTACATGTTTATTTCTGAAGGGTCCTTGTGTAATAACTGATGCCTACTTAGATGATTCTTATATTTTGTTTCATAATCGCAGGTGTCACATGTGTACGATTGTGTTTTCGAAGGGTCTTTGTGTATTAACTGGTGATCTTTTAGACAATCCTTATATTTAGTTTCATACGTACATGAGTCACAGTTGTATATTTGGATTTTTGACGGATTTTTGTGTTTCAACTGATGTGTTTTTAGATCCCTTTTATACTTAGTTTCATAATTACACACATCACACTTGTGCATTTGGATTTCTGAAGGGTCCTTGTGTTTTAACTGATGCAATTTTAGATTGCTTCTAAACTTGGTTTCATAATTACATGAATCACACTTGTACATTTGGATTTTTGAAGGATCTTTGTGTTTAAACTGGTGCGATTTTAGGTTGCTTATAAAATTGGTTTCATAACCACACCTATCACACATAAATGTTTTAATATCTGAAGTATGTGATAACTGATGCACTTTCAGATGTCCTTTATATTTAGTTTCATAGGTACAAGTATCACATTTGTACATATTGATTTCTGAAGGGTCCTTGTGTAATAACTGATGTCTGTTCAAATGGCCTTTGTGCTTAGTTTCAAACCTGCATGTTTCACACTTGTACATTTCAATTTCTGAAGGGTCCTTGTGCGATAACTGATGCAATCTTAGACTATTCTTAAATTTTGTTTCATAAGTACACGTATCACACTTGTGCATTTGGATTTCCAAAGGGTCTTTGTGCTTCAACTGATGATCTTTTAGACAATCCTTATATTTAGTTTCATAACTGCATGTATCACATTTGTACATTTGGATTTCTGAAGGGTCTTTGTGCTTTAACTGATGCATTTTTAGACATTTTGGGTATTTAGATTCATAAGTACATACGTCACACTTGTACTTTTTGATTTCCGAAGAGCCTTTATGCTTTATTTGATGTCTTTTCAAACAACTCTTATGTTTAGTTTCAAAATTACATGTTTCACATTTATACATCTGAACTTCTGAAGGGTCTTTATGCATTAATTGATGAATTTTTAGATATTTTTTATACTTAGTTTCATACGCACAGGTATCACACTTGTACATTTGGATTTCCGAAGGGTCTTTGTGCGTTAACTCATGTGCTTTCAGATGACTCGTATATTCAGTTTCGTAACTACATGTATCACACCTGTACCTTCTCACTTCTAAGGGATCCTTATGTACTGACAAATTTCTCCTATAGTAGGCTGTAGAACTGCAGTCATCACACTTGACACACATTTGCGCTTTTGAAGGATTTTTGTATATTTTCTTATTTGCCGTAAGTTTACAATTATCACACTGGAAGAATTGCATATCTAACAAAGGCCCACACATTTGAAATTCAGACTTTTCGCTTTGAATGTTGGAAACAGACATAGACGTTGTAAGATGTTCATCCTGTATTTCTCCTATATCCTCTGAAATGCATCTCCTCTTGTTTTCGGTTGCTTCAAATAGTGAATTGCTGAAAAAATTAAAATTGTTCATGAAATCTGTTGTGCAAAATATCATATTAAAAATTATTCTACAGAAAAATAAAATATACCCGACATGATTACTAAATTTGTTTGTTTAAATAAATAAATATAATAAATAAATAAATAAATACTTCTAATTAATTCTTTTAAATTCAATTCTGCAAAAAAATATAAAAGATAATGAAAGCAGAGAAATTAAATTTATTTCTGTAGGCTACGGTGGTCTTCAAGGTTGTAGGTTGACGTCAGTTAGTTACTAATTTACATTCCCATTACAAAATTTTGCTGACATTTCCTCACCTTTCCTGATCGTCTTTCTCTGTCTTTATTTCAATATCTTCAAATTTAATACAAGACTTAACACGTCCCCATTTCCCCTGTTCATCATCATCTACTTTTATTTCAGTAATTTCGGATTTCATATCAAACAGTCTAACGACACATGTATTACTCCCCAGTGCATTTGAACCATCACCTTCCAGTTTTACTTCAATCTCTTCAGTTTTAACGTAGGATTGCTTATCCATGTTTTTATTATATATTTCCTGTGCACCAAGACAATTCCTTAAAAAAACGCCATGGGTGTGAAGAGAATCAAAACAGGGTCCGCATATAACAGGATCGCTGGTAGCACTGATGTTCTACAATGAAAAAATATTGTTAACTTGTGGAAAAATATTTATTCTTTCTTTATATTTTCAAAAAATTTGGGTAAAATATTTATGGCAATTGTCGTGTACAAATAAAATATAGGTAAAAAATAAACAATTCGAGCTTAGGATTAAACAATAAAATCAGGTACAATAGATACTATCCCGTACCATTGGCCATTGTTTGCACTGCCATTTTAATAACATAAACCAAAACAGAAGTATCGATTCGATTATATCGCCATCATTTTCCTACTCAATATTTTGCGGAATTCCAGTAAAACAGGATAAACAAAAAATAATAATAAATAGGCTATTTATCGACTTTATAAGGATAACTATTGTTATGTATTTACACTGAAAAGTTCTCAAATTATATAAAATTTTACCCAAATTTGAGGATGCTGAGAATAAAAATAAATAATTTTATGCATTTTCTTGAAGTCCTATGAAATATACTTACAATTTCTGGTATATATGTATCAATTAAATTAACGTCTACTTCCTTTAGTGACATAAATCCAGATATTATCAACTGAATACATAACCGACAAATTCTTTCATTTTCGGATATACTGTTTAAGTGAATAGTTCCTTTCTCCTTTAGATATACTTCTTTTAAGTCAACAAGCGACGCTTTACTGGAATTACCATAAGGAAAAATAATACTCTCGGTACACATACATGTCGATTTAAAATTAAAAGCAGCCAATAACTGTACGGAACATGCTTTGCATATTAAATGTTTATCGTTCTCCTCCAAATTCTGAAATGTATTTGTGATTAAAGATATGAAACCTTTTACCGTATAAGTAGGTAATCGTTGAATCTTACCAGATTCGGCAAAACTGCTTGTAGAGCTTTCTTTATGGCTTCCCCTATTATTTCGTAATTTCTGTCACTTTCAGTATTAAGACACAATCTGCAAAATATTTCTTCATAGTTTCCCGGCTGCATATTTCCTTTTTTTTTTTGTTAAAACCTGAAATTCCAAGTACTATTTCCAAACCCAAACAAAAACAATCATTACATAACCTACAAACGTTTGACTTTTACATTAGGTGGTTTCCTTTTACAAATTTGTGTCTTAGCTACATTTCAGTTTTCTTACCTGGACTAGGGATGGGCGAAAAACATCGATACTTTTTAAACATCGATGTTAGGAGGTAGTTATCGATGGAAAACAATCGATTTCTTTTGAAAGCGCGCCATTATTCCATGGCTAGAAATTGGCCTCAATGATTTGGGATCGAGGGGGATTATCCCTCTTTATCCTGCCTCATCTCGTGTAGGCCCGGACAGCCTTCGTAGNGTCGAATATTCGCATATCTTGCAACGTCAGAATCTACATACTTTTCACGCTTTTTAAATTTGCCACTTAAAAATATTCCAAAGAAAGCATTGATATATTCCTTCAGTTTTATTTGAAGCAAATACATATATTATATAGTGAGATATAACACCAATTCCCACAACACTAGATTACTGGAAGCAATAAATGATGACAAATTATGGTTACTGGTTAGAAGTTAAAACCCATATGTCAAAGTCGTCAAAGTACATACTACATATCACTGAATAGTGAATATATACATTTTCGCCATCTGTTCAGGTTAGACAAAGTTAGAAATAAGATTAAAAGAGATAGAAACAGTGACTACAAGTCAGACGTATTCACCAATATTCACTCGCGAAAAAAAGCCTCTAGACTGACCGTATCTAAGCTGCTTCCCTTTTGCAAGAAAAATCACATTAATATCACATGTGACATCATGACTCAGTTAATTGTGCGTTCCTTTTAATTTTCCGAAGTGATTTTGAATTGAGAATTTTTACCCCCACTTACTGCTATCTACATTAGTTTGAGAGCTTGTTCACTTGGCTCATTTTGTGCTCAGTTATTTAAAGTGAGGTTAGGCACGATTAGGTTTGTTTTTAAAAGCTAAAAGTTGCACATAATATGTAAGTATTATGATTTATAACGTCTTTTCAATAATAATATATCGCATTTAAGTTTATATATGGTTTATTTACATTTAACTCATATGATCGTTCCTTTTACAAGATGAATCACAACAGAACAACTGATGTGAGTACAATCACCTCACGTGTAATATGTACTCAGTTGCCTGCAAAAGGGAAGCAGCTCTAATTCCAATGCACGGGTACCAGTGAATGCAAAATCCGAGGAAGTGGAGTGTGGAAGGTAATCTGATCTCGCGCATCTTTAAGCAGATCCGTATTAAGTAATATTTTTATTACATATTAAATAATATATTGCATCTTATAACAAATATTCAATTTTAAGTTTGTAATTCAGAAAATAGTATATTTTAGTGTCATATTAAATAAAACTACAAAATAATTTAAATATATTTATTATCCTCTAAATAATATTAATTTATTTAATATTTGTCATTTCGTAGATTTTATCGAATTAAATAATTTGACTTCATGATTTATTCGTACATCAATATACTTTTCACATTCAGCCCTTACAAGTTCTATTAAATGATTACAATTGTTAGGCAAATTATCAAATTGATGTTCATGCAAATTTCCAAATATGTTCATATTCAGAAAGTTTTTTAATACATGATAAACAATTTTATTTTTCTATAGCCTAGGTGTCCCGCTTTCATCATTATTTAAAAATTTTATTAATTTTTGTTTCTTAGCATATTACTACGACATCTCGATGGATACGTCAAACAACCACGATCTTTAATAAAAATTAATTGACTGTACGAATACTGATTCTGAAATTAGTTTTGTTTGAGATTTTTTTAATTGAAAAAAATATTTAATTAATTTTCAGCTATCTCGAAATGACGGGAACTGGTAAAATTTCATAAAAATTTAAGACTCACATCAAGTAAATAATTACTAAAAATATTTTACAGTAATTCATTCATTATTTTATAATAACAATATCACGTTAATTACTACACTATGTGGGCGAACAAAATTATAAAGCTAACCCTGGAAACTTGTGACGTTAACTGAAAAATGGCGTACATATTTACCTTTTATATATTCCTTTCTTTTACTTACCTAAATAAGGAAACTTTTCGCCTCTCTTCACCAACTCGATCACTTCTATTTATACAATGTTTTACAATACACTTGCCCATGATAAAACGTCTAATTATCGAAATCACAGCGATGCGTACACGTCAAATGCTAGGACACGACTGAGCTTTGGGCTCCAAATCAGGCTCCAAAATTTCACCAAAGTCGCTCTATAAGCCAGTCTAGGTGGTCTGTGGATGTGACACATCTGCCTATATTAATACGTACGCGTACATTAGATATTGGACGAGATGATTATTGTCATTAGTTTATGTAAAAAAAATGATAGAATTTAGGGCGCAATTTAGTGTAGTAGGGCGGTATTCGGCCTTGAAATTCGGCAATTTTGAAATCCTCTTTTTTATAAATTTAAAACACCTTATGTGATTTTCTAAAATTTGGCAAGTTAATTGACACCGCTCTATAGAACAATAAACCCCATATCAAAATTATGATTAATTACAATCCATATTCAAAATTTATAATTTTCGAAATTTGTAATTTTATCACTGGCAGCAATTTTAATACAAAAATTAAATTAGGAAAAAATTATTTACAGTTGTTCCTGGTATCCTTTAAATAAAAGTGGAACTTTTCAAAAAATTTAATTTAAGATATTGGTTTAATTTTTATATATCCATTTTCATTATTTGTAAGGTTTTTTGTATAATGGGTTCATCCATGAAAATTTAATGGGTCCATTTAAAGGATTTTCAGAGATTTAATATTTATTCAAAANTCAGATCATAGAAAACAAAATTATTGCACTAGTAACACTCATAACTGAACAAATCAAAATGTATTATTATAATTTTTTTCGAATTCGGTACTTATTTATTATATTTTTCAAATATCTTGAATAAAAAAGTGTTATACTAGTCCAGGGTTGTTTTTTTTTTGATATTCGAAAAAAATCGATGTTTTACTCCGATATATCGAGAATCGATAATAAATTATTTGATAATCGATATAACATAACATCGATGTTTTTCATTAAATCTGCCCATCCCTAACCTGGACTAATCTGACAAACAGAACACGATGATCCGTGATTTTGTCAAAATAGTAACTGGAGAACTAGAATGAAAAATCGAGTCAATTCCGATTCATAAACTTAAAAGTAGGCGCTCGCTCTTCTCGGATACTTACTGAAAGTGCAAGAATACTTTTAGCTCTCGATATTTGCCAGGCTACCTAGAAAATATCGTGCGAGATATAAGTTCTCGAATGCGGGAAATATTCGAATCACAGATTAGAAAGAGGATAATTCGAATTAATTTAAATCAACTACTGATTTTATTTAGAGTATAGGTTAGTATCGTCTAAAGGCGGATTTATTGTCAGGCTATTTGGCTTTGGCTTTGTTGGCGTTGTCCTAATACTGCACTGTGATTGGCTATCAATCACGCGGTGCTAAAAGCAAGCAGAAATTCATATTTCACGAATTTCAGCGTTCAAAGCTTTCCCATTTGAGATTGTTGTATGTTTTCATTTGCAATCTTTTCTGTTATGCTCAATATAAAAGATAACAAAAATTAGCATTAAAAATATACAAGATGTCCCTAAAAGGTCTTTACAACGCTCCACCAGACACAGTGCGGCTCAGAATAAGTCGATTTAGATAAACTTACCTTAGGGTCGTATGACATTATACTAAAATTAGAACTAATTTCAGTAATTAACTAAGAACTTTTTAATCTTGTATAGTATCACACAGAAATTGCAACACAAATTGTTACCTACAAATTTTTAGTACAAGAATTTCAAACATGTCCTAATTTCTTGCCAAGGAAATAAATATGAATATACATATCTATTTATACAGTTTTTTTATTCTGGCTAGTGTCAGTTTCGGGTTTCAATTGTCAACTGAATTTTATGCCAACCATTCGTAACATAACATAACCTTATTTAATTTATCTAAAAATTGAATTCTGGAGTATTAATCTGAAAAATTCCGTAAATAAAACTTATATCGTGGAGTAGAAATTATAATTTATAATCTGTTGACAACATAAAAACTAACCCCACTTTTATAAAAAAAATGTGATGCGACACAACTGCCTGTATTAATCTTCTGCGCATGGGCTTACATTAAATATTGGACGAGATGATTATTGTCTAGTTTATTTAAAAAAAAATGATGGAATTTAGGGCGCAATTTAGTGTAGTAGGGCGGTATTCGGCCTTGAACTTGCAATTTTGAAATCCTCTTTTTTATAAATTTACAACACTATGTGATTTTCTAAAATTTGGCAAGTTGACACTGCTCTATAGAACAATAAACACCATATGAAAATTATGATTATCAATCCATATTAAAAATTTATAATTTTCGAAATTTGTAATTTTAATCACCGGCAGCAATTTTAACACAAAAATTAAATTAGGAAAAATTTATTTAAAATTGTTCCTGGTATTCTTTAAGTAAAAGTGGAACTTTTCAAAAAATTTAATGGTTTAATTTTTATATATCCATTGTCATTATTTGTAAGGTTTTTTGTATAATGGGTTCATCCACGAAAATTTAATGGGTCCATTTAAAGGATTTTCAGAGATTTAATATTTATTCAAAAGTAGGTACCAATTTTTACTCATGCTACAATTTTAACGCCAAACATTTAAATAAAGGATAGGTTAATCACATATACTTATCTTTGCCATTGCTTTAGTTTCTTGTAAATTTTAGTGTGGTGTAACATTTTTTGTGGTTTGTCATGAAAACAATTTATCGGGTTAAAATTTTTTTAATTTTTAAGTAAATCCCGTTTAAGTATATTTATATAAATTTTAAGGGGGGTGTTTTAATGCATCATGTTATTCAGTTATACAAGTTTTCTCCGGGGCATGACAGTTTGCAACTTGACAACACATTCAGGCTAAGAAAAAAGGCTATTTTTACCTCCTATGCTCATCATTACGTTTCTTGAATTTTACACACCTGTTGAACATACAGAAAATCGCGTATGGCACTATAAATTTGATCGCACCCCACACAAAGCTTTCATGAAACTTAATCACAATTATTGAGTATTTTTACAAAACTCTTGACACAATAGGACAAGTACATTTTCCGATGTTTACATGAGTGCCCATCCGTGATCTTTAACTGCGAAAAATTAAAGGAACATTTCTATAGTTTAGACATTGTCGAAAACATGGTGATTTCCTTATTAGTGCGATTTCTTGTTTATAAAACGCCATCCTTAAGGTGCAATTGTATTTCCTNACCGTCATGCCGGTCGCATTGTGCGAGGTTAGGTTTTACAGTGGAACAGTTTCCAGTGCCGTACAGAAGTGTATTTTTAAATCATTTTCAAACTGCCCTTTTTGATTTTTTCTTTACAAAATTGTATTTGTAAGGGTCCCCTGTACATCCAGAATTTTTTCTTTTGATAAGTTCTGAATCACCCTGTATTTATATAAATATTAAGGGGGGCATTTTAATGCATAATGTTCGGTGAATTTATAGCAGTTTTTTGTCGAGAGTTTAAAAAAATGTAAGCAAGCAGAAACATTATCTCTTCACTATATCAGTCATACAAGTTTTCTCCGGGGCATGACAGTTTGCAACTTAACAACACATTCAGGCTAAGAAAAAAGGCCATTTTTTCCTCCTATGCTCATCAATACGTTTCATAAATTTTACACCCCTGTTGAACACAGAAAATCGCATATAGCACTATAAATTTGATCGCATCCCACACAAAGCTTTCATGAAACTTAATCACAATTATTGGGTATTTTTACAAAACTCTCGACACAATATAGGACAAGTACATTTTCCGATGTTTACGTGAGTGTCCATCCGTGATCTCTGCGAAAAATTAAAGGAACATTACTATAGTTTAGACATTGTCGAAAACATGGTGATTTCCTTCTTAGTGCGATTTCTTGTTTATAAAACGCCATCCTTAAGGTAAATTGTATTTCCTCATGGATTTTATTTTATTAAATTTAGCTGGTTGTTCACTCTCAGTGGTGAATTATATACATCTTTATTTGAAAAAAAATTTTTAAATGCATATTAACATCGCTGCAATAATAAAGATATTATACAAAACCTAATAAGTTTTTTTAATTAATACAGAAGTAATTTTTATACAGACTATATTATGTTGCTGGAAAGGAAATAAAAAAAAGATAATAAGGTATGAATATACAGGGTGTTATGTAAGACTGGCACATTTTTAAAGTGGTATTAAAATTAGTTTTATGACAAATCACACTTGTACTTTTAGGCCTCTCAAGCATCTTTGTGTATCAACTGATGCTTATTTAATTCACTCTTATATTTGGTTTCATAAGTACATGTATCACAAGTATACTTTTGGATTTTTGGAGGGTATCTGTGTTTAAACTGATGCGGTTTCAGGTCCCACTTATACTTAGTTTCGTAACTACACATATCACACTTGTACATTTGGATTTCCGAAGGGTCTTTGTGCTTAAACTGGTGCGATTTTAGATTGCTCTTAAACTTAGTTTCATAACTACACGCATCGCATTTGTACATTCGGATTTTTGAAGGATCTTTGTGTTGCAACTGATGAGATTTTAGGTTGCTTATGAAATTAGTTTCAAAACTACACCTATCACACCTGTACAGTTTGATATCTGAAGTGTGTGATAACTGATGCACCTTCAAATGTCCCTTGTATTTAGTTTCATACGTACAAGTATCGCACTTGTACATGTCGATTTCCGAAGGGTCTTTGTGTAATAATTGATGCCTTTTCAAATGACCCTTATGTTTACTTTTAAAACTACACGATTCACACTTGTACAATTGGATTTCCGAAGGGTCCTTATGTGATAACTGGTGCACTTTGAGATTACTCTGACGTTTAGATTTGTAAGCACAAGCATCACATTTGTACATTTGGATATTTACATCGTCTTCGTGCGTTAACTGATGCATACGTTCATCCTCTATTTCTCCTATATCTTCTGAAGTGTTTCTCCCATTATTTTTAATTGTTTCATTACATAAGTCATATGGAGAAGAATAACTAAAACAATTACAATTGTTCATCAAAATTATTTCTTTTTTACAAAATTATATTTTAAAAATTATTGTAAAGAAAAATAAGTTATATCCGATGAAATTATTTTACAAATTTGGAATTTGTAGTATTAGATAGATCTTTATACTTTCATTCATTCATTTGTCTGTGTGCTTAAAAATAAGCTTAATAATAAATAAAAGAATTTACATTGATTACATGGTACCAATACCAAAAGATTCATATTATATTTAGTTTTTAAATCTTGTTAATTTTAGAAATAAGAAAAACTAGATACCTTAGGTTTTCCCTTTTAAAACTAGACAACCCACACATAGTAGCGGATTTATTGAATAAAAAAATTCCTCCGATTAAATCAATCATCAATAATAGCATTTGAATAAAGATACTAATATAACATTTTGTTTGTTTTTTATACTAATTTGGAAAGATTACACACAATATCGAATAAAAATACTCTAGAAAATGTCACTCGGAAGAAATAAACAACACGGAGGAAATATTCCCAATTTTCAAATGTTTCTCCGATTTATGAATAAAAAATAGTTATAAACAATCATATACATTTAGTTATTAAATAAATGCAATTAAATTATATGCAACTATTTAATATATTTCCCTTAATTTAACCAAAATTCCAAAAGTTTACCAAACTTTCACTACTATTTATTGAAAATGCTAGATGACATTAAGAAAACTGATTTTTTTAGTCCTTACAAATTGGTAAATACAGTCCTTACAATATTTGTTGATATAGAATTAATATTAAATTTTCACATACAGTAGAACCCCGTTTATCCGTTTGCGGATTGTCCTGGGTGCGGATTATCCGTGCTATGTCTAGGAATTTGTGGTGACGCATTATTTTGTGTTTTTGTTCAATAAAGATCGTATAATATCATGTGTTGTGGCTAACGCTTCTAAACTGCAGAAGTTGCAAATATTCTATTAGCCCATTTTGAGTAAGTCGACATTTTAAACCTAAGTAAAATATGTCAGAAAATAAAGAAAAACAGAAAAAGTTAAATACTTAAAATAAATATACCTAAATCGCATTTCCAATGATTTTATGCATGTTTCGGGGTTCTACTGTATTTTGAACAATTCATTACCCAATATCTCAATAGTTTTACCTATAATACTACAATATTTAAATTTCAATAGATTTTTTATACAGGGTGTTTCAAAAGGTGTTGCCAAACTTGAAGGGGCTATAGAGGACATTGTGAAATTAGGAAAGAATTTGATTTAACAAACTTATAACGAGTACAGAAACTTTGCCGATTATAAAAAAAGTTATCACAGTTATAAGACTGTCGTTTCGAGTGGCAGCAATTATTAAATACAACATTGAAATTCATGATTAACATTTTAGAAATTTTAAAAGGAAGTTTAAGGATTAATGCTTCTAGGAAAAATTTTTATGTTGAGAATTTTGAGAGATCGTACGTAAGCCTATTATTTCCTTACCCTCCCTGGTCATATTCTTCTACTTTTATATTAATCTCTTCGAACTTAATATAAGACTGCCCATCGAAACTTTTATAATTCTCCTGCATATTTTGATCATCTTCCAGTTTTGTTTTAATCTCTTCAATTTTAATGTAACACTGTTTATCAAGACATTTATTCCTTTCCAGTGCATCTGAACCATCGTCTTCCAGCTTTACTTCAATCTCTTCAGATTTAACGTAGGACTGTTTATCCATGTTTTTATCTATCTCCTGTGCATCAAGGCAGTTCCATAAATGCTGCCAATCAAAACACAGTCCGCATACAACAGGTTGCCTTGTAGCACTCTTGTTCTACAATAAAAAAAATATTGTTAACGACACACCATCTATCGTTTCTTATGAAACCGAAGAAAAACAGTTAAAACAGAATTTTTAAATATGCAGGAAGAAAATTTAATGATATTGCTGGTGTAGTCCAATGCTAGTCGGTGCATATAGCCCGTAGACAAGTTATTCCATTACTTAGAACTTTGCTTTCGTCCTGCATTACACATCGCTTTCTGTCATTTTTTTGGCCTCTTTGTAGGTCTTAGATAGTTTGTAGCAGTAGCCACTAAATGTAGCATCTTTTACTTGCTCAATTTAAGGAATCGAAGCAGCTGGATCATTCCTCGGTTGACGCACCTATAGCATACTAATACAAACTAACAAGTCCGAAACAGGTATATGCCTTATCTGTTAGACTGACGAATGATCCTAGCTATATTTAATGATATTGCTGGTGTAAGTTAAGGTATAAGATATTTTCCCAAGTCATTCAAAATATACTTACAACTTGTGGTATAGATGTATCGATTATATCAACGTCCACCTCATTTAGTGACACAAATCCAGATAATATCAACGGAATATATAATCAACAAATTCTCTTATTTTTTATTATATCAAGTGAAAATTTCCTTCCCCCTTTAGATATATTCATTTTCAGTCAACTAGGGACACTTTACAAGAATTCACATAAATAATAATATTCTTGCGATTTAATATTAAAGGCGGCCAATAATTTTACGGAACATGCTTTAAACATTACATGTTTATCGTTCTCCTCCAATTCACATTCAGAAACATATTCGTAATTAAAGATATAAAAGAACTTTTTAACCAAGTTACTATTTTGTAATTTCCACCGCTTTCAGTATTAACACACAGCCTACAAAATATTTCTTCAAAGTTTCCCGGCTAAATGTTTTCTCTTTTCTGGCTAGGATCGAAAAATTCAATGTACCATTACTAAAAATTCATAACCTATACACGTTCGTATTTTTCGGTCCGTATTTTTGTAAAGCCCATGAGAAATATAAGTTTTTTAATAATAATATGAGAATAGACAGAATCTATATCGCATCAAAACAAAAACCCAGAAAAATTTGTTAATAACAGGACTTTATTTTTCTAGAGGCAGTCTGTTATTTATTTGATGACTCTTGTTTGTTTTGTAAACAATAGCTGCTTTCCAATTGCCAGGAACTGCTCCTGAACTGTTCTACTTTAATTGCAACACCTCCGAGAGAAACGCGGGAGTATTTAAATAATTATCAAGTACTTCTTTTTAATATTAGTCGAAAGTCAGAGCCTAATATAAATTTCACTTATTAAAGTACAGTGGCACAAAATAATAACCATGATGAAACATATTAAAAAATCTCAACACACTCAAACTCAACACAATGTGGAAACAAAAACAATAAAGCTCGTCAGTAAGGTACATTAAGAATAAATTGTTCCAACATTGAAACGCAAAAAAGCTAATCTGAATTGTTCCTGACGTGCTTCCGAACTACACATTTTGTCAATTGGAAAGCAGCTGCTTTTCTATTCGTTGATTCAAATTCCGAGTATCATACATTTGTTCACTATTTTTGAATTGCAATAAAATATGATAGTTCTAAGTTCACAAAAACAAGTACTAACCATTAAAATGCCAAAAATTTGTTTCCTTAAAAATAAAAACAATAAAACCAACGAGTCTGGCAAACGGCACACGCTGTGTGTATGTCATCATTTTGCGGAACAAATCATCTGCTGGTGATCACAGTATACTAATCAATATACTGTGCTGGTGATGAAACGTCTTACCTGCTGTATGTTCTTCGACTTATTTGTGACCACGGTGATGAGACATTAGACATATTTCAGAGACATTTGGGCAATAGTGTTTTCGGACATGCAACTAAAATAATGGCGTCCACGGTTATATCGGAACACCCTGTATATTATTGCAATTTTTGGATTCCACGTAAATTTTTAGGTGAACTTTCATGAAGGTTTCCTATTAAAGTTAACCGTTTTTGATATATTTAAAAAATATATAAAAAAGCACTGCCTGATTCAAAAAAATATGTATTTTACAATAATAAAGTTAGAGCGATAAAATTTATCGGGGACATAACTAAAACTCTAAGCTNCCAGGCTTCATCTAGAAATGTAAATAAATAAGTCCCCTTTATTTAAATGTCCTTGGTGGAAACGGAAACAATAAAGCTCGTCAGTAAGGTACATTAAGAATAAAGTGTTCCAACTTATTGAAACGCAAAAAAGCTAATCTGAATTGTTCCTGACGTGCTTCCGAACTACATATTTTGTCAATTGGAAAGCAACTGCTTTTCTATTCGTTGATTCAAATTCCGAGTATCATACATTTGTTCACTATTTTTGAATTGCAATAAAATATGATAGTTCTAAGTTCACAAAAACAACAAAACCAACGAGTCTGGCAAACGGCACACGCTGTGTGTATGACATCATTTTGCGGAACAAATCATCAGCTGGTGATGAGACGTCTTACCTGCTGTATGTTGTTTGACTTCTTTGTGACCACGGTGACGAGACATTAGACATATTTCAGAGACATTTGGGCAATAGTGTTTTCGGACATGCAACTAAAATAATGGCGTCAACGGTTATATCGGAAGTTGACACCCTGTATATTATTGCAATTTTGGATTCCACGTAAATTTTTAAGTGAACTTTCATAAAGGTTTCCTATTCTTAAAGTTAACCGTTTTTGATATATTTAAAAAAATAATAAAAAAGCACTGCCTAATTCAAAAAAATTTGTATTTTACAATAAAGTTAGAGCGATAAAATTTATCGGGGACATAACTAAAACTCTAAGCTTCCCTGCCACAATTTTAAAATGACTTAATTTCATACAGGGTGGTAGAAATTTAATGCCGAATTTAGTCAACTTTAAATCATCTTATTTTTTTTTTAATAATGAAGATGATGTCAAGTTCTGGTATAACGGAAGAGTTATGTGGAAGCCATTATTTTACTTGAGAAGGGCATACCTGAAAACACTATTGCCCAAATTTTCAAAATTAAAATAATATGTCCATACCTCGTCACGGTGGGATAACCTGTAGAAAAGGAGCAGCTCGTGGAAAGTTCCTCAAATTCGGATATTTGGGAATCGCATCAAGGAAGCAGTAATAGAAGAAAAAGTTCAAAATAAATAAACACAGTTTCCAAATATGTTTATTAATATTCTAGAAACAAAGTTGCGAATGTATACTACCATTGCCAAGAAAATAATAAATATTTGAATATTCTGGGAAAAAATCTCAGTTAAAGAAATATTTTATAAATTTGACATACCCATTTTTTTTTAAATCAGTGATTATTTGGTGTATCGAAGGCACATGTTAGTAATATTTTTCAGCGTAGCCTAACCTCATACATACCCATCAGACGATGCTTAATTGTTCGATATTAGACACTTATATTTATTTATTAAAAAAAAAAAATTAAGAAATACATATACATATACAAAAATTTATTCGCAATTATCATTTTGTACCATTCGTACACTTCATTTTCGATAAAACTGAATCACTGTACGTCTTTGCCAACATTTTCAACGATTCAGCACAAGAAATTCCGTTGGTAGCACAAAATTTTAGGCTTGTTCTTTGTTCAATAACATTATCCACAGTAAAAATCGAGAAGCACACTTTAGATGGACTAACAACATTAACAGCTGTAAACAAACTTCTTGACAGATTGCACCCAAACTTTTCGTCAGAGTAGAGTACAGTGCTATCAACTTTACATCTAAAAAGAAATTTAAATCGACTTTATGTAGAATTGAAATTAGTTTCAAAGCTACACCTGTACATTTTGACTTATGAAGTGTGTGATAACTGATGCACCTTCAGATGTCCCTTGTATTTAGTTTCGTACGTACAAGTATCACACTTGTACATTCGAATTTTTGAAGAATCTTTGTGTTGCAACTGATGCGAATTTAGGTTGCTTATGAAATTAGTTTCAAAACTACACCTATCACATCTGTACATTTTAACTTCAGAAGTGTGTGATAACTGATGCACCATCAGATGTCCTTTGTATTTAGCTTCATACGTACAAGTATCACACTTGTACATTTGGATTTTTGAAGGATTTTTGTGTTGCAACTGATGCGATTTTAGGTTGCTTACGGATTTAGTTTCAAAACTACACCTATCACACCTGTACATTTTGACTTCTGAAATGTGTGATAACTGATGCACCTTCAGATGACCCTTGTATTTACTTTCATACGTACAAGTATCACACTTGTACATTTGGATTTCCGAAGGGTTTTTATGTAATAATTGATGCCTTTTCAAATGACCCTTATGCTTACTTTTAAAATTACACGATTCACATTTGTACATTTGGATAATTGAAGCGTCTTTGTGCGTTAACTGATGCATATGTTCATTCTTTATTTCTCCCATATCTTCTGATTTCATTTCGATTGTTTCATTATATAAGGCGCATGAAGAAGAATCACTGAAACAATTAAATGAAATTAAAACTGTTCATGAAACTTGTCACATACAAAATTATGTTTTAAAAATTATTGTAATGAAAAATAAGTTATACCCGACAAGATTGCTTTACAAATTTGGAAATTGTGGTATCAGATCTTTGTACTTTTATTCATAAGTAAATAAACATTATAATAAATTCTTTATTTGTATTACATTGAATATTATGGTACCAAAAGATTCACAGTAGATTTAGTTTTTAATCTTGTTACAGTCCGTACGATATTTGTTCGAATAGAATTCCAAGTAGATCACTGCGTCACTTTCTTGGAATTCTATAGCAACAAATATTGTACGTTGTACAGACTAAGTTGCTGCCATTAGAAATAACAAACACTAGATATCTTAGGTTTTCTCTTGTTTGATTTAACATACAGATTGTGTATGAGCTGTAATTTTTCGAACATAGAAAACGTCTTAAAGTATTTTGACAATTCGCAATTATAAATTTATTACAGATACGGAAAAGAGCAAACACAAGCAGTGATTGGTTAAGAAATTGTCATGTAAAGGAAATTAGGCAGAAAATTGATTTAGAAAATTTGTGTAACGAGTACAGAAACTAAGCTCCTTATAAAAAAGTTATCGTAATTATAGAACTGTCGTTTTTAGAAGCGGAAACTATTAAATACAATATTGAAATTAAAGGTTAACGTTTTGGAAATTTTTAACTTTTAAAAATATATGGGAGCAATTGAAAGCTTTTAGTTACTAAAAAATTTAATTTTGTGACATTGTATGTAAGCCTATTACAAAATTTCAGATGTTGCCTTACCCTTCATGATCATATTCTTCTACCTTTATATCAATCTCTTCACATTTAATATAAGACTGCTTATCAACACTTTCATAATTTTCCTGCATATTTTGATCATCTTCCAGTTTTATTTCAATCTCTTCAATTTTAATGTAATACTGGTTTTCGAGACATTTATTCCTTTCCAGTGCATCTGAGCCATAGTCTTCCAGTTTTATTTCAACCTCTTCAGTTTTGATGTAAGATTGTTTATCCATATTTTTATACATTTTTTGTGCATTAACGCAGTTCCTTAAACAACCATCATGGGTATGAAGAGAATCAAAACACGGTCCGCATATAACGGGTCCCTAGCAGCACTGATGTTCTACAATAAAAAAATGTTGTTAATTACAGGCCATCTATTGTTTCTTAAGAAACCGAAGAAAAACAGTTACAACATAATTTTTTAATATGTAGGAAGAAAATTTAATAATATTGCTGGTGTAATTCAACGATAGTCAGAACATATCGTTCGTCGACAAGTTGTTTCCTGCAATATCATTACTTAAAACTTTGCTTTCGTCCTGCATTACACATCGCTTTCTGCCATTTTTGACCTCATTGTAGGTTTTGGACAGCTAGAAGCAGTGGTCACTAAATGTAGCACCTTTTACTTGCTCAATTCTTGAATTTAAGGAATCAAAGCAGAAGTTTTGAAAATTTACTAAATGTAGAATTTCTAAGTGTACAGGTCTAATAAGTTATTTTCATAAGTCATTTAAAATATACTTACAAATTGTGGTATATATGTATCTATTATATCAACATCCACTTCATTTGTTGTTCTCCTCCAAATCCTTAAACATATTCGTAATTAAAGATATGAAAATGAACTATCTTGTAAACATTAACGTAATAACTGGACCTTACCAGATTTGGTTAAACTGCTTCTAGAGATTTCTTTATGACCTATTATTTCGTAATTTCTATCGTTTTCAGTATTACGACACAACCTTCAAAATATTTCTTCAAAGTTTATTTCCTCTTTTCTGGTTAGGATCGATGTACCATTAATAAACATTCATAACCTATACACTTTCGTATTTTTCGGCCCGTGTTTTTGTAGAGCCTAAATAGTGCAGTGCAGTGATAATATGAAAATATACAGAATCTATATCGTATTAAAACACAAACCCCAAAAAAAATTATTAATAAAAACACAACCCTATTTTTCTACAGGCAGTCTGTCATTTATGACTTCTGTTTGTTTTGTAATAAAATAGCGGCTTTCCAATTGCTAGGGAACTGCTCCTGAACTATTCTTTTACGGTTCTACTTTTTAATACTCCAAACTTTAACAATTGCAACACTTCCGACAGAAACGCGTAACAAAAAAGCTAAGCTAATCAGTGTTCCTGAAGTGCTTCCAACTTTTCAAAGTCCATTTTTTGTCAATTGAAAGCAACTTTATAGTGCCGCTTTTCTATTCGTCGATTCAAATTCGTAGGTTTAGAGTTTCGCGAAATTGTTAACTTAATACGTTTGTTCACTATATTTTAATTAGAATAAAATGTGATACTTCTAAGGCCATGTAAACAAGTGCTAACAATTACAATTTCAAAATTTTGTTTTCTTAAAAATAAAAACAACGAAAACAACGAGGCTAGTAAACGGCACCTGCAGTTAGACTAGTGGCTGTGACATCATTTTGCGGAACGGATTATCAGCTGACGGCGAAACCTGATTACCTGCTACAGGTTATGTTCTTTAACTTTTTGTTTCAAATTCATTTTACGGCTTTTATCTGTTTTTAATATATGATGGGAGACTCAAACAGTGTAAAAGTGAGTAGAAAAAAATGGTGTTTCGTTCCTGGGTGTACAAACACATCAATAAATAAACCAGGAAAGGTGTTTATAAGTGTACCATCTAATTTGCAAAGAAAAAAGCTTTGGTTTATTGCAGCTAGACGAGAACTTAAAGACGTTTCAATAAAAACTCATTTTTATTGTTGTGAAGATCATTTTAAGGTAAGATAATAGTAAGTTATTGTTATTATGTTACTATACAGGGTGTTTTTGAATGGAGTAGCATAAATGATACCAGTGAATCTACATTTCAAAAGAACACGATCTGCAAAAAATCGCCTTAGTAAAATGTTCACCCCTGAAGAGATATGGGCCATCAAAGTTTCCAAAAAAATTATGAAAATTGGCTGTAATTTGAAAACCGAACGAGGTACAAATAACAAATTTTTTACAGGTTGTTTACTAATACAGATGCGAGTTTTCAACTATTTTTCGAAAATTTTAACCCCTCGAAAGGGGTTGAAATAACCACCCCTCAAGCCATTTTTTGCCATAACTTTTATATTTCGTAAAAACTCGATATCCAAAAATACGCATTAGATAAACTGGTTCTTTTAGAAACTTTTACCTCTCTAGCAATTTTCCTTTAAAACTTTTCGTTTATTAATAAAAAAATAAAATGTATTACCATTCACCTCACACCGTATATGATTGCAATCAATCAAAGAAAAACTAAGTGTGCTGCTGTCATGCCAGTTGTCACAATTAACTCTTCTGTAAGTTGTCACTGTTATCAGCTAAATACTTTTTGGGTGTAAATTAACAAGAATTATGCCAAATTTTACTAATGATGAATATGTGGACATGCTACAAGTGTATTTTGAATGTCGCAAAAACTGTGCTGCGGCAACAAGAGCGTATAATGAGATATCCAAATCGTCAAGTTCCCCACAGACAAACTTTTTTGGCGGTAGAAGACTTCGGGAAATTGGAAAAATACAGCCGCATATTGAGGGTACCGGCCGAAGAACTACTGTTCGTACTATTTATCTTGGGGATGCAGTACTTGAAGAGTATGACGAAAATCGTTAGACTATTACTAGAAAAACAGCAATGCACTTAAATGTGTCCCATAGTGTTGTTTGGAATATTGTCCATGATAATTTATTATATCCTTTTCACCACCGGCCAGTTCAAGCTCTATTTAAACCAGACATGCATAAGCGAGTTGTTTTTTGCGAATCGTATCTTAATATTCTAAGAAATAATTTGAATTTTGCCTCAAAAATACTTTTCACAGATGAAACAACTTTTCAAAGACATGGTTTAACCAATATGCACAATCTTCATTCCTGGGCTCATGAAAATCCTCACGAAGTATCTATGACAACATTTCAACATAATTTTAGTTTAAACATTTGGGCAGGAATTGTAGAAAATGTGCTTGTCGGCCCTTTTGTTTTACCTCATCGACTTGGTGCTGTTGAATATTTGCAGTTCTTAAATGAGCATCTACCACCGCTTCTGGAGGAAGTACCATTAAATGTACGTCAGGCCATGTGGTATATGCATGACGGGGCTCCTGCTTACAGCACTGTAGTAGTTAGGCGGTGGCTTAATTTAAATTACCCGAATCATTGGATAGGTCGCGGCAATGAGGCACCCATCTCTTGGCCTGCACGTTCTCCCGATCTAACGCCCATGGATTTTTTCTTTTGGGGACATATATAAAAAGTATTGTTTATGCAACCCCAGCTGACAGTGTTGAAGAGCTACAGGAAAGAATATTCGCGGCGGCTGATGAAATTCGCAACAATCCCATTATTTTTGCTCGAGTCCGTAACAACTTTGATGAACGTGTTAGGTTGTGTTTAGAAAGATGTGGTAATTATTTTGAAAATGTCCTTTAACTAAGTTTATTGTTTTTTCTCTTTTTGATAATAAATTATTTCTTAGTTTCGTTTTCATTGTACTTCTATTTAATAAAAGTTTCTGCGACATTCAAACAGTTATTTGTGCAACTACTGTAAAGAGTGTGTATTTGTTGTACGATGCATGAAGTTTGCAGCTCGAGACGAAGTTGAGAGCTGCAATCATGTTAAGTGCAACAAATATGCTTTTTGCACATGTTGCACGCAACATTTTTTCTACGATTGTTTTTATTTCAAATTTTATTTAACAGTATTTTACATAATATTAAAATTTTAACTGACAACTGGAAATTAATTGCGCAAATTGTCAATGTCAGACGTTAGGTACTTATGGATATGCTTAGATTAAACTTGTAATCAATATTTTTTTTGTACTACTGTAAAAAAAGTTAAACTTTTGGCACAGTAGGTAGTGCAATAAGTAGTAAATTTTGCACGATCGTAGAAAAAAACACTTGTAGCATGTCCACATATTCATCATTAGTAAAATTTGGCATAATTCTTGTTAATTTACACCCAAAAAGTATTTAGCTGATAACAGTGACAACTTACAGAAGAGTTAATTGTGACAACTGGCATGACAGCAGCACACTTAGTTTTTCTTTGATTGATTGCAATCATATACGGTGTGAGGTGAATGGTAATACATTTTATTTTTTTATTAATAAACGAAAAGTTTTAAAGGAAAATTGCTAGAGAGGTAAAAGTTTCTAAAAGAACCAGTTTATCTAATGCGTATTTTTGGATATCGAGTTTTTACGAAATATAAAAGTTATGGCAAAAAATGGCTTGAGGGGTGGTTATTTCAACCCCTTTCGAGGGGTTAAAATTTTCGAAAAATAGTTGAAAACTCGCATCTGTATTAGTAAACAACCTGTAAAAAATTTGTTGTACCTAGTTCGGTTTTCAAATTATAGCCAATTTTCATAATTTTTTGAACATTTTACTAAGGCGATTTTTTGCAGATCGTGTTCTTTTGAAATGTAGATTCACTGGTATCATTTATGCTACTCCATTCAAAACGCCCTGTATATACATCTCTTTATTATTTTTTTTAAATTTAGTACCTAGTTTAAGTAGTTTATGTTATAGTAAACCAATTATTTAGGTATATATATCAATTTTTTTTTCAGTTGGAAGAAGATATGGAAAACTATCTAGAGTACAAATTAAGCAAAGTTAACATTCGCATGAAACCTGAAGTACTGCCGCATATTTTTACTTGCCGAACAGACAAGAACATTGATGATTCTCGTCAAAGTAGTGAAAGAAGGGCTAAAAAAAGGAAGAGTTCTCAAGGGAATGAAAATGTAATAAAAGTAAATAAATTCAAAACTGATTTCTGCTGTCAAGCCAATCTCATTCACTATAGGAGCAAGGGTATACAAGTCTCTTGCCGCAAAGATTCAACAAAAAAATAAACAATAAACGCTGAAGTCAAAGCATTTTGATGGTGATAACAGGATAGAAAAAGAGAAGCTCGTGGAAAATTCTTCAAATTCAGATATTTGAGAATCACATCAATGAAGCAGTGATAGTAGAGAAAGAGAAGTAAAGTTCAAAGTAAACAAATAGTTTCCTGATATGTTTATTGATACAGAAACAAAGTTGCGAAGGTATACTACCATTCCCAAAAAAAAATAAAAAATGTTAGGAAAAAATCTCGGTTATATTATATATTATGATGTTAACTGTTCGATATTAGACAAAATTTTATTTACTAAAAAAAAAAATTAAAAATCATTTGATACATCTGGAAAAACATGTGACATTCTTAACTCTAGAAATAATTGATATTAAAGGCATAAATAAATAATTTTATATCATTGTTAATTTTAACTCGTACCGTTAACCCTAAAACACTAACATTAAATTACAGTTACGTGGTCTTGACAGACAGATTTAGCAGGTTACGAGCTTTTCAGGATGATGTTCATCGCCAATATCACTTAAAGGAATATTAATTATACCAGTAATGTAATGACGGCTCGCAAAAATTAAAGTGATTATATTTTTGTAATGAAACGTGGGACCCATTTTGTTTTTAGGGGATAATTTCTAAGCCCACGAAAAGAAATTCAAATGAAATTTAATTCCAAACCAAGTTTTAAAATCTTTTTCTGGGTAAATAATAAAAGGTTAATTTAATATAATTTGAATAAATAATATTTTAGGGGTATTTTAATGATACAAATGCTGTTTTAATAAATATAATGCAATGATATACAAAATTTACTGTTCAATTAATTACATTTGCCTGGTTGTCTACTGCACTTCTATGGTTAATTTTGAACATAGTAAGTACTTAGTACCTCATATCTATTTAGACTGTTTTATGCCTTGTCTGGAAACCATGTTTGTTCCACTCGTACATTTATACCCTTGGAGTTTCAGCAATTTTCAAACTATTTAGTTCCAAAAACATATTCCATTGACCCTAGGCCTGTAGAATAGTATTTATTTACTGCATTTAGTCACAAGTATCTTATTCCTACTCGCTGTGGAAGGGTTCCTATGTCTAGATAGATGGTGTTTGAGGCTCTTTTTATGTTTAGTTTCGTAAGTACAATTATCACATTTATACATTTGGATATCTAAAGGATCTTTGTGCGATAACTGATGCACTTTTAGATCACTGTTATATTTAGTTTCATACGTACAAGTATCACACTTGTACATTTGGATTTCCGAAGGGTCTTTGTGCAATAATTGATGCCTTTTCAAATGACTCTTATACTTACTTTCATAAGTACACAATTCACATTTGTATATTTTGGTTTTTATGGGGTCTTTGTGTGATAATAGATGCCCTTTCAGATGACTCCTGTTTATAGTCTCGTAAGTACACGTATCGCATTTGTACATTTCAATTTCCAAAGGGTCTTTGTGCCATAACTGATGCGCTTTCAGATGACTCCTATTTTTAGTTTCATAAGTACAAGCATCACATTTGTACATTTCCATTTCCGAAGGGTCTTTGTGCAATAACTGATGCAGTTTTAGATGTCTGTTATACTTAGTTTTATAGGCACAAGAGTCACATTTGTACATTTGGATTTCAGAAACGTTTTTGTGAATCGACTGATGCACTTTTAAATCACTCTTAAATTTAGTTTTATAAGAACAAGTGAAACACTCATACATTTGAATATCCGAAGGATCTTTGTGCGATAACTGATGCCTTTTCAAATGACTTTTATACTTAGTCTCGTAAGTACAAGATTCACACTTGTACATTTTGGTATTTGAAGAATCTTTGTGAGATAGCTGATGCACATTCAGATGACTGCTAAATTTAGTTTCATAAGTACAAGTGTCACATTTGTACATTCTGATTTCCGAAGGGTCTTTGTGCAATAACTGATGCATTCTTAGGCGACCCTTTTGATTAGTTTCATAAGTACAAGTATCACATTTGTACATTTCCATTTCCGAAGGGTCTTTGTGCATTAACTGATGCACTTTTAGATCACTCTTATGTTTAGTTTTATGATTGCATGCATCACATTGGTACATTTTAATTTCTGAAGGGTCTTTGTGTGTTAATTGATGCTTTTTTAAATCACCCTTATATTTAGTCTCATAAGAACAAGTATCACACTTGTACATTTGAATTTCTGAAGCATCTTTGTGTGTTAACTTATGCTTATTTAGATGACTTTTATGCTTACTTTTATAAGTGCATGTATCACACTTGAACATTTGGATTGCTTGAATTGCTGAAATATTTTTGTGCGTCAACTGATGTCTCCTTAAACCACCCTTATATTTAGCTTTATATGTACAATAATCGCACTTGTACATTTTGATATCTGAAGGGTCTCTGTTAAACTCATTTTTGTAACCGTTATTATTATGTGATGGTACCATGGATGGAGCATCATATTTGTTTATGATGTTGGATGAAGAATCACTAAAAAAATAAAAACTGTTGAATGGAATCAATATTATAACTGAAATATGCACATTTTTTTCCCAACAAGATTTTTGGGAAATAGATTAATTGTTAAATTTACATTGTGTGTCTATTATCATTAATAATGCAACTAAAAACTAAGTAAATAAGCATGTAACCTTGGATTGAAAGTAAATGTGCATTTTAAAATTTTTATTATATAGTGGAAAGTATTTGACAGGACTGAATAAGTTTAGGGCATTTTTTTAGATTTTGTTAATACAGAAGTGTTTAAAATCTATAGATAAAAACATTAAAACATATGTATTTTGATATTTCTATCAGTCAATCTAATATACCTAAATTTTTCTCAAATTTCTCACCTTTCCCATTCCTCTCCCTCAAATTTTATGTCAATTTCTTCCGTTTCTAACAGCATTTCATCTGTTTCCAACTCTTTTTCAGTTTTAACTAACCCCTCCATCTGTTCATCTCCAAATTCAATTTCATTCTCTTCTCGTTTAATAAAGGCATCACACGCCCCTAAATCTATGATTTTGTTGTCACCTATGTTCTGAATTTGTTTTTCAACATCTGAACAGGTCTTTATGAAACTATCGTGCACTTTTAGCGAATTAAAACATTGATTACAAATGACAGGATCTTCGGTGAAGCCAAAATTCTACGAAACAAGAGTTCATAAAGGTATGGATATATTTATTTATTATTAACATTAGAATGTATGTAAAATGGATATTTACCACTTCTGGGATGTATCTAATAATCATCTCTAACTTCTCTTCATGAAATGACACAAATCCCTCACTAACGGACTGCAAACATAATCGACATATTTTCTGGTCATCTTCCATTTTAATGAACGGTTTGCTCTTTTGTTCCTTTAAATAAACTTCTCTTAAGTCGACGAAGGAAATTTTTGGATTAACATAAGAAACAATCTTATCCTCAACATAGAGACAAGTGGATTTAAAGTCAAACGCAGAATACAGTTTAATGGAACAGGTAGAACACATGATATGTTTATAGTTGCCTAAGTCCTGAAATATAATTTTCTATTGAAATAGTAACATGATTCCACTAGTTAAATTAATAGTCAACAAAACAACGAATAACGTACCAGATTCAGTGAAACTGTTTTTATAATTTCCCTCGTAGATTCGTCTATTACTGTAAAATTTCCATTGCTCACAATATTTATGCAAAGTCTGCAAAATATTGCTTTCCTACCTTCCATTTATTTAAATTTTTCAATTTTTCTATAAACATAACCTATACCTCATAGAACATCAGGTCATAGAGGAGGGACTACCTACAATTCACATATCTGTTATAGTACGGGAACGCATCGTATAATGCGCTGATAATTTATTTTAACACTGCGCCATTATTCCATGGCTAGAAATTGGCCTCAATGATTAGGGATCGTGGGGGATTATCCCTCTTTATCCTGCCTCATCTCGTGTGGGCCTGGACAGCCTTCGTAGGTGGGGCCCATCCGTCGTCTACCCCGACCGCAAATGCAGCCGGTGTAGGCGCTTTGTGTTACCTCCTTTTGTCCTGGCTGGGCCCCACCGGCTAGGGCCCTTTCTTCTGGCGCTCTTCCTGCTTTGCCGGCTCGTCTGTGTAAACTCCGGGGGTAGTGTCATGTTTATGTGTGGTATGGTTAGGTAGGGTAGTGCGGCTATGCAGCCTGGGATGCGCTTTGCTATGATGGCCCTTAGCACAGCGCGGGAGGGGAGGGGAAAGGAGGGTATGGGGTGTGCGTGCGCGCGCGGGTGTGTGTGTGTGTGTGTGTCTGTGTCTGTGTGTGTGTCTGTGTGTGTGTGTGTGTGTGTGGGTGTGTGTGTGTGTGTGTCGTTGTCTTCGTTTCTTGATCCTGGCGGTCTCTGAAACAGAAAAGGTTACCGGGCATGGGGGGACTTCGTTGGGGTCACCCATGGTCAAAAAGTTGGTGTCTAGGTACGTTTCAGAATGGCGCGCGGCGCGGTGTCTAGGTCTTTTGTGTTTGTCTGTCACGTCGGGTACGTAGTCAAGGGCTTGCCTGAGGTAATTGTCATGTCTAGCGGCTACGTCAAACCGTTTCTCCGCGTTTTGTCTTATTGTCTGCGTAGCGTTTGTGTATTGTAAGTCTCGTAATATGTCAGTGTTTCTTACGTACCAGNTGTGTGTGTGTCGTTGTCTTCGTTTCTTGATCCTGGCGGTCTCTGAAACAGAAAAGGTTAACGAGCATGGGGGGATTTCGTTGGGGTCACCCATGGTCAAAAAGTTGGTGTCTAGGTCTTTTGTGTTTGTCTGTCACGCCGGGTACGTAGTCAAGGGCTTGGGAATTGTCATGTCTAGCGGCTACGTCTAACCGTTTCTCCGCGTTTTGTCTTATTGTCTGTGTAGCGTTTGTGTATTGTAAGTCTCGTAATATGTCAGTGTTTCTTACGTACCATGGCGCGTCGGTGTCCGTGCGGAGGGCTATGTTTTCACAGCCAGTAATGACTTTAAGTGGCTTTTTGCCGCGTTACCCCACGCCGTGGAGGCGTAGGTTAGCTGCGAGGAAGGACTGTTATATGGTACTGGAATCGCTGATTGATCGAAAAGCACTCTATATTATAGATAACTTTCTCAAATTTCTAGTTTTCGGAAATCTTCAAACGCTTTTTACACGAAACAGCATTTTTTTATTCACGGAAACTCTAACTCAAAAAATGAAGATTATGAAGATTAAAAGTTTCTCTATGATATTACAAAGAACATGACCAACAATTGGGATGATATAATAATTTTAAAGGTGTTTTTCATTCAAAAACAGTGAAAAAAAGGTAAAACTTGATTAAATTCTTTTCAAACACTTGCCAAAACTTTTCACAATTTTTACCCGCAGTGAGGTTCATATTTGTAGAAAACATGCAGAAAAATAATAATTTTGCTTTCAGATCAAAGTTGCGACTTCGATATTTCCCGTGAACAACCAACTCCGACAAAAATCTTCAGTGGACAACAGCATTATCGTTATATGTATAAATTAAATAGTAGGCTCAAGATTGTAAGATGTAAAACGGTACCACAAAAATCAGCAAAAACAGCAAATTATAATAATTTATTGATGTACCTATGTCTTCAAAAAATTAATTCGACTTACTGTTTATATCAATACTGTCAGTCTTTTTTGTATTTTTCCGTAGTATTGAATGGTGTAATCAGTTCTTGATTTTTTTTTAATTTAATCAAATTATCAACAATTACTGAAAAATTCACTGTTGCGTCATTTTTTGAACTGTGATCAGATTTTTTTATTTCACCAAAAAGTATATGTCAAAACGACAAAAATTATCACCGGCAGAACTCTGTACGATGATTTTTCTTAGAAAAAAAAAGTGTTTCAGACCGGAAAAAATCAATATCTCGGAAACTTCTCGTTTTTTTTTTATCTATTGTGGTTATTGAAGACACAGAAAGGTATACTTTCACCAAGTTTCGTCAAAATTGAATTACTTTTGCGGAAATGAGAAATAAACGAAAAATCAGAAAAAATCGTTTTTCGCATTTTTCTTGGAAATTTTGAGGTTATCTAAAAAAGTGACCTCTTTAAAAATTGTAGATTTCTGCATGATCTACAACTTTTGCATTAGATACTTTTTTGTTTGACATCAACTTTCGCCAGGAATCCCAATGATACAATTTTTTACAACTTTTCAACCCCCCAAATCAAACCTCCGTCACCCCTGCTCATGTATTCATTTTTCTTTTCGTTTATTGTAAGCCCCTTTACCATTTCCACTTATAAAAGTCCAGGTAACAATTTTCTTTTTTTCCCCTCTAAATGAGTTATTTCGATCGGTCTAATAAATGAAAAATTACAATTTTACTTATTAGGAAAAATCCATTTGTTTCTTGCATTTTGTTTTGAAGGATTTAATTGGAGTTATGTCTATAGTGTCTATAGTTGTGATGAACTAGGATAGTTAATAAATCTTTAACTTTTAAATATATATTGAGAAATATTTTTAATAACAATTCCTCTAATCAAATGACAAATTTAAAGTGTTTTCATTAATACATAAAATAATTTTTATATATTTACATATATAAAAATTACATTACTGTAAAAGTAATAAACAGAATTAAATAAATGAAGAAATTATACAGGGTGATTGTAAAAAAGTGGGAAATATTTTAGGGGATGGTTGCCCAAGTTATTTTGTGAAAAAGAGTTCATATAAACGTATGTCGAAATATACTTCGTTTCCGAGATACAGAGTGTTTAAATTTTAATTTTTTATTTATTTTTATTAATTATTTCAAAGAGCTATAAAGATATTGATCCGAAATTTGATGGTTGTATTTTATTTAGAAATATTGACAACAACCTACTATATAATGTATCAATAGAAATTAAAAATACACAATTTGCAATAAAATGTTTTTTTTTCTCATAAACGGTGCATCCGACGAAAAAAATGAAGAGACCAATTTCATTCAGAATTGATGGCAAATTTCAAAAATAAATAATAAAACGAGAAAAAAGTCAGTGGCGTACCTACCATTTTTTTTATTAAAAAAGTTGTGGCATTCTCGCACAAATGCCACTGGTGCAAGTAGAAATATTCGGATTACCCCAAAAAAATGCACATTTATCCTTTCAAAGCGTTTTTCAAATTTCGAGTCAATATCTTAAAAACTCTGAAATAATTAATAAAAATAAATAAAAATTAAAATTTAAACACTCTATATCTCGAAAACAAAGCATATTTCGACCGACATTTATATGAACTTTTTTTCACAAAATAGCTTCAGCAACCACCCCCTAAAATATTTCGCACTTATTTACAAACACCCTGTATACAAGCCATTAGAAATAACATACTTCAGCAGTATCTCTTCAAAAACATAAAACTAAGAAATAAACTGAGATGTCACTGTATTCAACAAACAAAATCATATAAGAATTGTTCAAACATTTTTTTGGTATCTCTAGGAGCCAATCCCGCCCAAAATCTGCCACCATCTACGAAGAATGTTTGTATTGACCTACACATTTTTAAATTGTTTTGCAAATGCACATATTACGCTTGTAGATTTGGATTTCTCAATCATCTTTGTGTATCAACTGATGCTCATTTAGATCACTCTTATATTTAGTTTCATAAGTACATATTTGGATTTTTGAAGGGTCTTTGTGTGTTAACAGGTGTGATTTTAAATTGCTTCTAAACTTGGTTTTAAATCTACATGTATCACAGTTGTACATTTGGATTTTTGAGGGATCTTTATGTTTCAACTGATGCGATTTTAGGTTGCTTATGAAGTTAGTCTCATAAGTACAGGTATCACACTTGTACATTTTGATTTCTGAAGAGTGCGACAGCTGATGTACTCTGAGATGTCCTTTATATTTTGTTGCATACGTACAAGTACCACACTTGTACATGTTGATTTCTGAGGGGTTTTTGTGTGTTAACTGATGCCTTTTCACGTGGCTCTTATGCTTAGTTTCAAAACTACACATATCACACTTATATATTTTGATTTCTGAAGAGTGTGACAGCTGATGTACTCTGAGATGTCCTTTATATTTAGTTACATAAGTACAAGTACCACACTTGTACATGTTGATTTCTGAGGGGTCTTTGTGTGTTAACTGATGCCTTTTCACATGGCTCTTATGCTTAGTTTCAAAACTACACATATCACACTTGTACATTTGGGAATCTGAAGTGTTTTCACGGGACTTATCTTTAGTTTGAATTACTGGATAATTGCGTATTAACTCAAGTGTTTCTAAATTGCTTTTAAGACCAGTTTCATTACTATATGTATCACACATGTTCATTTGTATCCTTGAAGAACCTTTGTGCGTTAACTGATGCACTTTCAGATTACTCTCATGTTTAGTTTTATAAGTACAAGCATTACATTTGTACATTTGAATTTCTGCAGGGTCTTCGTGCGTTAACTGATGCCTTTTTAGATGATTTTTATATTTGGATGCGTAATTACACTTATCACATTTGTACATTATGATTTTTAAAGGATCTTCCTGTATCAACTTTTCTGAAGGGTCCTTGTGCAATAAGTGATGCCTTTTTAGATTATATTTATATTTTGTTTCATAGTCACATGAATCACATTTGTACATTTGGATTTCCGAAGGGTCTTTGTGCGTTAATTGATGTTCTTTTAAGCAATCCTTATATTTAGTTTCATAAGTACAAGTATCGCAGGTGTACATTTGGATTTCTGAAGGATCTTTGTGCGACAACTGATGCAGTTTCAGACATTTAAGGTACTTAGTTTCAAAACTACATGTATCACACTTGTACTTTTTAATATCTGAAGGGTCTTTGTGTGATAGCTGATGCCTCTTCAAATAATTTTTATGCTTAGTTTCAAAATTACAGGTTTCGCATGTGTACATTTGGATTTCTGAAGGGTTTTTGTGTGTTAATTGATGATCTTTTAAACATTTTTTATATTTAGTTTCGTAGGTACAAGTATCACAGTTGTACATTTGGATTTCTGAAGGATCTTTGTGTAATAACTGATGCCTTTTCAAATAACTTTTATGTTTACTTTCAAAATTACACGTTTCACAAGTGTACATTTGGATTTCCGAAGAGTCTTTGTGTGATAATTGATGATCTTTTAGACATCTCTTATATTTAGTTTCGTAAGTGCAAGTATCACATTTGTACATTTCAATTTCTGAAGGGTCTTTGTGTGTTAACCGATGCATTTTCAGACTCTTATGGTACTTCGTTTCATAACCACACGTATCACATTTGTACATTTGAATTTCTAAAGCATCCTTGTGTATTAATTGATGCGTTTTCAGATGATTCTTATATCTAGTTTCATAACTGCATGTTTCACATTTGTACATTCTCATTTCTGAGACACCTTTAGGTATTGACTGATTTTCATTAAATCCTGTTTCGGGTGTAAGCATATATTTATTCTTTATTTCTCCTAAATCCTCCAGAATGCGCCTCCTTTTGTTTTCATTTGTTTCATCCCCATAATATGAACAGGAATCACTGAAAAAAATTAAATTGTTCATGAAAGCATTTCAAGAAATTGAGATCGCATCATCAAAAATAATAAATTAGCTTTTTTCTAAAATTTGATAGAGTTTATATTATACTGAGATCTTTTATCTGGAAAATTGTTTAGATTTGAATATTCTTTGCATAGCCTGCAAGTCTGTGACATCACTGTGCCTCAAATGATATCGTAACATTAAAATATTAACAGGTCATGACAAAATAACATTACATTAAAAGAAAATGTAAATTTTTTAATTTTGAGAAGCTTACCCTTCCCCTGTCTCTATTTCAATCTCTTCGGATTTAATCCACAACTGCTTATCAATACTTTTATATTTCCCTTGTGGATCTTGATCATCTTCCGGTTTTATTTCAATCTCTTCAGTTTTCATAAAAGACTTCTTATCGACACATTTATTTCTCTCCTGTGCATCTGAACTATCTTCTTCAAGTTTCATTCCAATCTCTTCAAGTTTAATATAACATGGTCTATCAACAATTTCATATTCCTCCTGATCTTTTTCTACTTTTATTGCAATATCGTCAGATTTAATATCAGACTGTGTATTGACACTTTCATATTTCTCCTGAGCATCATGACGATCTTCGTCCAATCTCATTTCGATCTGTTCAGTTTTAACGTAAGTTTCCCTATCAGTGTTTTCATATATCGTCTGTGCATTGACACAGTTCTTTAAAAAACTGCCATGCGTACGAAGCGAATGAAAACATGGTCCACATATAATAGGATCTTTGGTAGCACTGACATTCTACAATAAAAATATATTTTTATTAATTTCGCAATCTATTGTCTTAAGAACTTGAAGAGAAAAACAGGTAAAATAGATTTTCTTAAATATGTAGAAGAATATTAACCGCTGTAAAAACTCAGGATTTTAAAATTTTATTTTACAAGTAGAAAACAAACAACTTGCCCTGTACATATAACTTTTTTAAGGTGAGTTTATCAAGGACTTTACCCATTTTGAAACAGAATCAAATGTAAAATAAGCCATCTAATACTTGTTTTTTTTCGAAAGGTTTATGTAAAATATTTAACACATATTTTATTCTTTTCGATCGTTATTAGCAAAAAAATGGTAGGTACAAAACACATGCTGAAATAATTTGTGTAAAGTTTAGATTGATAGAGAAAGCATATCAGGAAATGCAAATGATGTGTTGAATATGAAAATTTAATAAACATTTTTCCTTAAAATTATGGAAAATATGTTAGCCTAGAATTATGAAACTTACGATCAAGATATTTTGAACACTATTTACGGTATGTAATTTCTAAATAGGAATAAGGATGATGCTAAATTTACAGGTTAGAATTTTGAGTAGTAAGTCCTACCACAAAACATTAACTGCAGAATCATGGTCAGCACCCAGAAAACCGTGGCTTGAGCAAATTTTGTGCATTTTTTATTTTACAACTATAGTAAATCATAACATTTACCAAACAGTTTCCTAAGTCATTTAAAATATACTTACAATTTGTGGTATGTATGTATCAATTATGTCAACGTCCACTTCATTTAGTGACACAAATCCAGACGGTACCAATTGAATGCATAATCGACAAATCCTCTCATTTTCTGATATATGGGTTAAGTGAATATTTCCTTTTTTCTTTAGATATATTTCTCTTAAGTCAATAAGCGGCACTTTACTGGAATTAACATAAGGAAAAATAATACTCTCGGTATACATACACGTAGATTTAAAATTAAAGGCGGTCAATAACTTTACGGAACATGTTTTACACATAACATGTTTATTGTTCTCCTCCAAGTTCTGAAATGTATTCGCAATTGAATATATAAAAATGAACTACCCTATAAACATGAAAGTAGTAATTGGATCTTACCAGATTCGGGAGAACTACTTCTAGAGCCTTCTTTAAAACTTCCCCGATTTCTTCGTAATTTCTATCGTTTTCAGTATTAAGACACAGCCTGCAGAATATTCCTTTAAAATTTCCCGGGTGCATGTTTATGTTTTTTCTGGTTAGGATCGGAAAATTCTATGTAGAAATTTCAATCTAAACAATCATAACCTATAAACGTTTGACGTTTGCATTTTTCAATTTTACCTTAGCACAGACACAAAAAGAGTAGAATAAGCGTCGAGATGTACAAACTGGCTAATAACGGAGGCCTATATTTTGAAGGTTCTGATACAAAAGGCACTCCAATATGTCGTTTAAAGAACTCCAAACAAATTAATACAATGGATTCCAAGTGTGGTGCTCAATCTATAGGATTTACACCCGATGTTCCTCCTGATTGAAATAATTCATGCTATAAAACTCAGTAGAAGATTTTTTAATATTGATCTCAACATGAAAGAAAAACAAGGTAAGAGAACAGTTTGTATTTATTATTTCAAAAAATACTAAAAATTTCAATAAATCCTGAGATATTTTTAAATAAAACTATTATGGCAATTTAAAGAAATTGAAATTGACATTGGCGTAGATTTCTTTTAATAAAGGGTGAAGGAAAGAGAGTCATGTGCTATGTTACATTATCACTTTACAAATTACTGTCACCAAATTAGTGAAAATTAGAAAAAAATATGATCAAAATACCACTTTTTTTTGACGCCCTGTGTCTCAAGAACCAAGCCGTTGCGGATCCATGTTCATATGAACTTTTTACCTTAAAATTAGTCAAAGATTCACCCTTTAAAGTTTGTACAAACACTTGATAAACACCCTGTATATGTATCTATAGTTTTAATAACTTGGCCAAGGAATAGGAAATAATACAAGTGGTTTTAATTTTTATTTTTATTCTTAATATTTAAACAAATGGTCAATAAGCACAAATTATTACAAATGGTTTTTACTCTAAAAGTTGGTAGCCTTAAACTTCTATAAACATAAGCACATAGTAACTAAATAGTATACTCCAGGTTGTAAGATGTAAAAACTCACCACAAAAATATCAAATTATAAGTTTCTTGACAAATATCTTAAAACAATTAATATATAACAATACATTATACAAATCTGAATTAGTAAATCTCAGAGAATCCAAAGGCTTTGCACCTAATTGGTATTTTAAAATAAAAAACAAGATAGATTTAGTGGCTGTAAATAGTTGCATGATTTCGAAGTTGAGCGTTTAGAATCACTCTCTGAAGGATAAACTATTATAGTTAATAAATCTTAACTGATAATATCAATTTAAGATGTTCGACAGACCGACAAAGGTTTCAAAGTCCCCCATAATTGTTTGAATGTCCTCATGAATTGAATAAGGAAACTGAAGAAAATATTTTAATGTAAATTTGAAGATACATATACCTAAGTACTTTTGAACTTCTGAAGATTTTCTATGGCTGACGTGTTTTTAAAATTAGTTTCCCGACTACACATATCACACTCACATATTTAGATCCTTCTTATATTTAATTTATTTATTTACGGTACATGCATCAATCGATGATTTTTGAGACTTTTTTTATATTTAGTTTCATAGGTACAAATACCACATTTGTACATTTGAATTTCCGAGGGGTCTTTGTGTATTAGCTGATGTTTGTTTAGATCGCCCTTGAATCTAGTTTCATAAGTACATGAATGACACATGTACATTTGGATTTTCGAAGGATCCTTGTGAATTAACTGATGCAATTTTAGATTGCTTCTGAACTTGGATTCGTAACTGCATGTATCACACTTGTACATTTGGATTTTCGAGGGATCTTTATGTTTCAACTGATGCGATTTTAGGTTGCTGATGTAATTTGTTTCATAAATACATTCATCACACTTGTACATTTTGAGTTCAGAAGTGTGTGATAACTGATGTACTTTCAGATGCCCTTTATACTTAGTTTCATATGTGCAAGTATCACACTTGTACATGTTGATTTTTGAACGATCTTTGTGTGTTAATTGATGCCTTTTGATTTGACTCTCATGCTTAGTTTCAAAACTGCATGTTTCACATTTGAACAGTTGAATTTTCAAAGTGTTTTTGTGGGACATTTTATAATTATGTTTAGCTTCATAACTACATGTATCATGCTTGTACAATCGGATTTCTGAAGAACTTTTGTGTTTTAACTGGTGCACTTTCAAATTATTCTGATGTTTAGTTTCATAAGCACAAGCATCACATTTGTACATTTGGATTTCCGAAGGGTCCTTGTGCGATAAATGATGCCTTTTAAGACGATTTTTATATTTAGTTTCATAACTACACATATCACATTTGTACATTAGGATCTTCAAGCGATCTTTGTGTGTTAACTGTAGCAGTTTGATTTCTGAAGGATCCTTGTGCAATAACTGATGTTTTCTTAGATTATACTTATATTTAGTTTCATAATCACATGAGTTACATCTGTACATTTGGATTTCCGAAGGATCTTTGTGAGTTAATTGATGATCTTTGAGGCAATTCTTATATCTAGTTTCGTAAGTGCAAGTATCACACTTGTACATTTGAATTTCTGAAGTATCTTTGTGCAATAACTGATGTCTTTTCATGTAACCTTTATCCTTACTCTCAAAGTTACAGGTTTCACATGAGTACATTGGTATTTCCGAAGGGTCTTTATGCCAAAAACGATGCTTAGTTAAATCATACTTATTATTACTTTCAAAACTACCAGTATTGCACTTCCCTAAATGCTCCGATTTGCAGCTCCTTTTGGGTTCAATTGCTTCATCCTTTAAGTCGTTTGAGGAATCACTGAAAAAATTAAAATTGTTCATGAAATCTGTCTGCTGCACAAAATAATTCATCACCACTGAGAAAGACCAACAAAAAATGTCAACCAACATCTACTGTTGTTTCAAATTTTTTTCTAAAAGTTTCATTTTTTTATATACATATATGTACATAATGTTGTTCTCTTAATGTTTATAAATTCCACTCGAAAGGAGGGTACCTGAATCAACAATTCTGAGTGAAATGTGGAAACAGTAAGATCTTTCTATAGTGGCTATTTTTCATCGGGGGTCTTTGTCGAAGGTGATGTTAGAACAACAAAAATAAGAAATATTTCTTTGCATTATTCCATTATTTAACATTTTTGATGTCAGGTATGTGTTTTTATACCAATTATATTTAGACATATCATTTTTAGTTGATATTTTGGATAATTATTTATGATGGTGTAATTTAGTGCTAGTTGAGGAATGTACCCCATAGAGTAGTTTCCTGTAATATCAACAATTAGGAGATCTGCGAGGTTAGGTATCTTTTGCTTACCTTTCCTCGATTTCTGGTATGTCTATTTGACTTTATTTTATAAGATTTTTTATAGAAAATTTTTTTGAAATATTTGAACTTTGAGATAAATAAAATATTTCTAATAAAAAAAACTGAAATAGGAAACAGAATATTAATTTTGAAAACCAATACGATTATCGAACTGGCCAGGGTTAGCAACTAACGCATGTTTCACTATGCGTATTATAAAAACATCAAAACATTTTTAAATATCTATAATGACATCTTAAGCTTCTGATTACTAAAATAGAAATACTTTGCTTTACCGTTCCTCATCATCTTTCTCTGTCTTTATTTCAATCTCTTCAAATTTAATACAAGACTGGTCATCGGCACTTTCATATTTCTCCTGAGCTTCATGGTCTTTTTCCAGTTTGATTTCAATCTGTTCAGTTTTAACGTAAGACTGCTTATCAATACTTTTGTATTTGTTCTGCGCATCTTGACCATCTTCCAGTTCTATTTCAATTTCTTCAGGTTTAATATAAGACGGCTTATCAAATTCATATTTCCAGTGAGTATCATGACAATCTTCTTCGAGTTTTATTTCCATCTCTTCAGTTTTAATATAAGTCTGTTTATCAATGTTTCGATATATTATCTGTGCATCAAGGCAGTTATTTAAAAAAATTCCGTGAGTATGGAGTGAGTTAAAACAGGGTCCACATATAACAGGATCCCTGGTAGCACCGATGTTCTACAATTAAAATGTATTAGTGTTAATTTCTGGCAGAACAGCTAATGTTTTTAAAGAAACCAAAAGACAGAAAAATAAGTATGCAGAAAAAGTACATAACTTTATAGTTCACATTATAAAACAAGACAACAAGGTTGCCAACCCCATTTGCCAAATTATTGTTCCAGTGGAACTAAAATTATCGTATTATTATTTTACTTACTAATTTATAAATAAACCCATTATAAATACTTTATAGCAAAATAATTAAGGTCAATTATCAGGTTTATTAATAAATAATATTTTTCAACATTAGAAAGAACTTTTTACTTTATTTCATTGAATAATTAAGCTATTTGCTGCACGTATAACACTTTCTAAATAAGAATGATACGAAGGTGGGGCTAAGTATACAGATTAGAATTTTGAATAATATCGTTTCTTGAAAGCTACCTAGGTCCAATTGCACAAAATTATCTGCAGATTTATGTTCAACAAATTGGAAAATTAAGAGTGGGCATACACTACACATTTTCTTGAGTTTTCCGCTGTGGTAAATATTTTCCCAAGAAATATACTTACCACTTGTGGTATATATGTATGAATTATGTCAACGTCCACTTCATTTAGTGATACAAATCCAAATGTTACCAACTGAATACATAATCGACAAATTCTCTCATTTTCAGATACATCGAATAAGCGGATATTTCCTTTCTCCTTTAGATATATTTCTTTTATGTCAACCTGTGATGTTTTACTGGAAGTGACATAAGGAAAAATAATAAAAATCTAATAAAAAGATCTAGCTAGTTGGAGTAGATCTAGTGCCACTAAATAAATTAACAAACAATAAAAGGAATAATTGATTCTTACTGTTTTTGGCAAAACCTCTTCGTGAGCGTTTCTTACGACTTCCCCTATAATTTCTTAGTTTCTATCGTTTTCGATATTAAAACAGCTTACAAATTGGTTCTTTAAAGTTTCCCGGCTGCATGTTTTCTATTTTCTGCCTAGGAAGGAAATATTCCAAAATTACAAGAATGTTTACCAAACAATTAGTAGTAATACATAACCTACATTCGATCATTTGTCCCATAGGCCTTAAAATTCCTTATTCTTCTTCTTCTTCTTTTCTTTTTGGTCATCACCGACATGGTAGATAGCCAGCTGACCTTAAAAGCTAATTTGAATTATTACTTTTTGAAGCACAGCCATATATATAATACTACACATATATGATAACAGCACATCTAGTTAGTGATTAAAGTTTTATAAAAATTTAATCTTTCAAGATATGTGGCGTCACCTAATATCTAGTAAAAGTACTACAAGTTAATCTAGAATATTGATCTTAATTAGATCTGGCATTCGCGCCATTATTCTATGGCTAGAAATTGGCCTCAATGATTTGGGATCGAGGGGGATTATCCCTCTTTATCCTGCCTCATCTCGTGTAGGCCTGGACAGCCTTCGTAGGTGGGCCCCATCCGTCGTCTACCCCGACCGCAAATGCGGCCGGTGTAGGCGCTTTGTGGGACCTCCTTTTGTCCTGGCTGGGCCCCGCCGGCTAGGGCCCTTTCTTCTGGCGCTCTTCTTGCTTCGCCGGCTCGTCTGTGTAAACCCCGGGGGTAGTGTCATGTTTATGTGTGGTATGGTTGGGTAGGGTAGTGCGGCTATGCAGCCTGGGATGCGCTTTGCTAAGGTGGCCCTTAGGCTAGCGCGGGAGGGGAGGG